GTCTCAAAGTGATGCTGAAAAACTGCTCCATGCATTTGTTACTTTCAGGCTGGACTACTGTAACTCTTTACTATCAGGATGTCCCAATGATTCCCTAAAAAGCCTCCAGTTAATCCAAAATTTTGCAGCTAGAGTACCGACAGGAACTAGCAAGAGAGATCATATTTCTCCCATTTTAGCTTCCCTCCACTGGCTCTCTGTAAAATCCAGAATAGGGTTTAAAATCCTCCTCCAAGGCTCCATCGTATCTTAAAGACTTTGTAGAGCCTTATCTATTTTGTAATGTTAATACCAGTTTTGACATCCTGATAAAGGAAGTGAGATTTTATGTTAGTCTAGTGAATATTCTAGGAGTATTTGGAGCACATATATTCCTCACAAGTGTAGCCTGTGTTGTTTGTGTTTTCTCTTCGCAGGTCAGAGAGGCACAGAAGGATGAGAGCAGGAGATATCGTGTACGTGAAGGTGCCCAGGAGGAGGAGAGACCCCCTCGCAGAGGAGGCCCATACATGGTGTGAAAGATCCTGAGGACAGAGACGGCTTGGAGCTGATCTTGGTTTGAAAAGGAGAAGATGTGATCCAAGGATGAGGAGGAAGTTCAAGTGACAATACCGGTCATGACCCAGCTGTGCTCTTATCTATCTGACCCTCATGAGGATCAAGTCAGCAAGTCAGAGGTGCTGAGGTCAGTCATGCAGTCGAGAGAGAGACATTGCAGTCAGTGAGGATTGGAAAAAGCAGACGGTGTTGAGATGGTGACAAAATGAAACTGCAAGAAAGTGAACTGATCAAAGGACAATGGACTCTGACATATTATTTTTATACATTCATACACACCATTCATGCATAGCAGTTATTTTGTATCTTGTATCTAGAGTTTTGGTCTGAGCTTCACAATTAATTTTATTAAGTTCATTGAGGAGTTAGCTCTGTAATAAAAATTGATTTTAGATTTAACTTTACATGTAAGAAGAGGTTAAGGTTACATGTTAATATAGATTATGTAATAAAATAGACTGTTCGTGTGCTCACTTTTAAGTTCATGTGAGCTGGACAATGAGCTTATAGAATTAGGCCAAGATGTTTCCTGTTTTTGGGTACATCTCAGGTATTGTCTCCTAAAACTGGAGACAGGAAGCTAAATATATTTATGCTGTATTTTGTTGAGTAGGTGTACCTTACAAAAGCTGTTAAATTGCATGTTGAAGGCAAAAAGAACCTGATGCTAATATGATAATTCACTTTAAAAAGCTAAAGATCAACCAATCAACCAATTAAAGTACTGTATTCACACTGCAGAGTTGTGTTTTTGTTTATCCTTATCATACAGGTACTGTGGCACATAAATATTACCTGTTACACTGGGTTTCACATTTCAAAGACATTTCAAGTCAAAGATCTTTTAACCTGTGATCATGTTGGCGTGATCAGATCACGTGACTTATTCAACATAGTGCAGCATAAAAACAAAGTCCTGCTGAGCATTGCCATTAACTGGTGTTGAAAGTGCGAAAGTGCCAGTCTTTATTTTATGTTGATAAACCAAGTAAAACTGGAAATATGATAAAATAAATAAAAGTATTTACAGCAATAAAAAAGTAAAAGTAAATAAAAGTAATATTTATACACAGGTAAAAATACGTTCATTTAGATGGGGCCGGAATTGCATTTATTGTTATATTTTTGGCATTTTTTGCACAAATGCCTACATCCTGCACTGCAACATCAGCAACACACAAGGAGTGGAGCACATGTCACACAAGAACTTTTTATTGAGCTTGTGTTCCAGCTGTGCAGAGTGGAGCAGACTGGAGCCCCTACCAAAAGGAGCACTGCCCATGTTCCTGTTGCCATTGCTACAGGCAATTTAGAGTCACCAATCAACCTAAGCTGCATGTCTTTGGACTGTGGGAGGAAGCCAGAGTACCCGGAGAGAACCCACGCAGGCACAGGGAGAACATGCAAATGCCACAAAGAAAGGCCCCGAGACAGCTGGGACTCGAACCTGGAACCTTCTTGCTGTGAGGTGCCAGCGGTCTTTATAACTATTCACAAGCTTAGAAACACACAAAATTTGGTTTCTGTTTTTCTTTTTGGCTTTTCATGCTGTGCTTTAAACTACAGTAACAACTTGCATCATTTTTGAGAAAATAACAAATGCTCTGCAAGGAACAGAGAGACCAGAAGACGAGAGGTAGAGAAAAGGAAATAGCTTTACTATAAAGAAGGCATCTCTAGCAGAAGTTGCAACATCTCATACACGCATACATGGTGAATATATTTATGCTGTATTCTGTTGAGTAGGTGTACCTTACAAAAGCTGTTAATTTGCATGTTGAAGGCAAAAGAACCTGATGCTAATATGATAATTCACTTTAAAAAACTAAAGATCAACCAATCAACCAATTAAAAAAAAAATCTAGTTTCAAATCCCTTATGTGGCCCAGTCTAGACATTGCAGCATTGTGAAATGAAGAACATAAAGCTGTTAAACTACACATTGCTGTTAAACTACACATTGACATTTTTTGTTCCCCATGAAAGGTGAGCTGAGACAATGCAGACAGTAAAAAGAAATGTTTGGCTCCATGGTACACCTCAAATCAACATGCACAAATAAAAAAAATGCACTGCGCATCAGCGCTATGCATAATTCTCTTTTCTTTGCCAGTACATCCAGTGTGATTGATCTGGAAGAAAAGAGAAAGACCATATGGGAAAAAGGAGGGGTTGGGGTGGGATGGGAGCTACAGGTGTCCAGACCAGATCTTGAAGACGTTTCCTATGAGTCCAGTGAGACTTTTGTTTGTCAAGATGTCTGTACTCGGACCTCAAATTAACAACCCCCTGTGATCACACTAAGATCAGAGGGAACACACTGCATACAATGGCATAAGAGAAAACACCCAACTGAGGATATTGCTTTGAGGTTTTGCAGAAAGAGAGAAGGGAACATGAGTAAGAAAGAATAAATGACAGAAAAGTTGTTTTTGGAGAATTAGACATATTTTTGTTTTGGAAAAATGCCAGGTAAGAACTGCTTTCAAAATAGGTGCCTAACAGTGGGACATATGCTGTGTTCCATTTTAGGCTCCCCCTTCTTCAAAGTCTGTGAATTAAGATAGAATCAATCCACAAGGTTTTTCCCAATTCAGATTGTTACAAATAAGCTCGTTTTTTTTTCTTCCAGAACCAGTAAATTGATTTTGAAGGCCAATGTCAATGCCAATGTATTTACTTTTGCATTCAGGTGGCATCAACTTGAAATGAAATCACCTAAAGTATTTGCACTGCAGGATGTTAATAATAACAGCTGGGATAATTTCCTGCATTTATTCCATTATAGTGTCCCAGAATTTCACTTGATGATGGAACCGGCATGTCAGTGTTGGGAGAGGAGGTCCCAGAATGAAAATATCCTCAGTGAACTGTGCATTTGTGTAGTTTCTGCATTAAGGGAGCAGCTTAGAGAAAAAACATTAGTTGTTGTGTATCTGTTTTAACCAATAAATCACATAAGAAGACATGCATTTGCAAGTGCAAGTTATAAATATTGAATGCGAGTGATACTAAATACATTAGGTCTACAAGGTTACAGCTTCTAATCCGTTCAGTCAATAGCAAGCAAATTTAAAGCACCCAGACTATATCATGCAGTAACATTAAATAAACATGTTCTTACCTTCTGTTATTTAACACAGCCCATAACACAGTCATGGGGCAGGAGTCCTCTTTCATGTTATTCTGTGCTTTCCTTCAGTCCATTTAAAATCCATGACCTCAGCATCAAACTGGTTGTAGCCTATTAACCTTAGTTGTAGGCTTTTTAACTGGGTTCAGCTTGGCCTGTTTAGCTTCTGATTTCTGACTATCTTGGCTCTGCTGCAACTTGATATACTTTGAGCAAATTCACCTGTCTTTTTGCATTTCCGTTCTGTGGCATACAACGTTACACTGAATGGGCACCTTACCCAGTGTCATCTGCATGGGCTGGTTACATTGTGACATAATTAGCCTGCCTGTTTTAATTGTATTTAATTATTCTAATTTTTGTCTAATATGATGTTGTAAAAGGCTAGTTGTACAAAAGTATTAGACACTTGGCTTTTTTATATGTTATTTATATATTCACTTTGTTTCATATGTAAATGAAGTGCTGGGTCCATCAAAATAGGTTAACTCCTGGAACTTACTCAAGTTTAATGTCTTAGGTTCTGGGGACAAGTTTCTGGAACAAAATTTGGGTATTTTCAGGGATCAGCAGCAGTACTGTCGATCATGATTAGTCCTGTTGTCTGTCTTTTAGCTCTTCTAACAGTTGTTGTGTGTCACTGGCAACCTGTGGCCTCTTGTTTCTTATAGAGGGAGCATACTGACACAACATCTTGTCATGTCAAAAGTAAGATGTCAGAATAAGTACAACACCTACCATCTGGCAAAATGGGGATACAGTCAGCCAAACAGCAGAGGTAAAAATTACAAAAAAAAGAAGTGCACAGAGATGAAAAATCATTCATTGGTTTTGAGCCTGTTTTAGGCCATCAACTAGCACCAATCTGGATGGTGTCACTAACTGGTTCCTACTTCAATGACCTATCAAAGGGCACATAAAAATTTCATAATTTCCCTTGAAGTGAAAATATAGAGAAGAACCTACTGTAGTACCAGTGACCCACAAGGTTTTCTAAAGTTCAGGTTATAGGAGACCCCAGATTACATACTGTTAAGGTCCTGCAGTGAAAAAGAGCAACAATATTTAATTGAATTACAATTTAATTACAAAATGGACATGGACTTGGACAGTAGAGTGGACAGTAGATAAGCACACACTTCTGTTTACATTATATGGGCATGTGTGTATGCAGGCATATTCATATGTGTGAACTCTGTGTGTATGACCTGAATCAATTTTAGGCTGCACACAGAATCCACTAACTAAACTGACCCTCACTGTGGCACATACAAGGAAAAAAAAAATCTGAGTTTTAGTTGTTGTTTCATTTGTATGTGTGTGTGTGTGTGTGTGTGTGTGTGTGAGAGAGAGAGAGAGAGAGAGAAACTTGACACTCATTTGTGGAAGAGCAGGCTCAGTCTTTAGTCTTCTGAGGTGACCCCTGAAATGGGACACAGCTATGCAGCAATAGACAGGTTAAGTGAAAGGCATTATGGGAGGAAGGAGTAAATGCAGTCTCAGAAAGAATTGAAACAGGGGAGTTAACACCTCAGCAAATACATTTCTTAGGCACAAGCAGGCTGTGTGTGACAAACACAACAACTGCAGGAGCACACTTATTTACATGATAGAAAGCCTAATGCATTCCTCCTTCACAATCCAAACCATCATCAAAAAAGTAACTGATAAATTTGCCACAGCCAGTACAATATATTGCAACGTCAAAGCAAAGGGCAACATAGACTGAAGGATTATTGACACATTTGCATTTTGAGTGCAAATTTTCATCAAATCTACATTACAAAGGTGCATGCCAAACTAAATATGCACCTTTCACATTTGCTTGGTGGACACAGATTGCGACTCTTTGTTTCCTTTTCGGGGGTGGGGGGTCAACTAGCTAAATATTTACAAAGACAAGAGATTTTGTTTCAGGACCTACATGTACAGAATATATGTCAAATAAATAATAAGCAACAACAGTCTTTTGTAATTGAAATGTTATGTTACATATGTAAATTTGAAGAACAACACAGAGTAACAATAATACAACATGAGTACGAGAAGAGCAGCACAATGGGTAGATAAATATAACATTTGTCAGGTATGGTGACAGGGATTTTCTCTTTGCTGTTTTGTTTACTGCAGAAAAACCAACTGCTACAAAAATATCTTACTGCTGTGTTTAACACCTTTCACAATGAACATTAACAGTTTGTGGAGACATCTCTATTTTGGATATTTCTGGTGTGAAACAACAAAATATGGTGGTCAAAAAGGTGTATATAACACTTATTAAATTAAGAACTAATATATTAATACTATTGACATTATGTAATAAATAGAATAATAAAATAAATATTTGAAATACAATGTGAACCCCTGTCACTAACTGCGGTGAATAAGAATTGGAAGCTTTACTCCAGTGCTGTTAAGTAGCAGGTAAGTATGGTATGAGTGCTGAAACTATGTGGTGAAACCAGTGGTCACTCAGTGAACATGTAGTATATGTAATAAAAAATAAAAATTAAAAAAAATTCTTTGACTGTCAGTCCATTTGTCAGCTAAGAGAATGACTATATGACAAAAGTGAAATACTGAGTATTCAAATTTAATTTTCCTTCTTTTCTTTCTCTGCAAAAACTAAAAATTAAGCTGACATATTTCATGTGCATGGCTATGAATTTAATGTATATACTTTCATGCTGTAAATCTTGTTATTTTAAAGTATTCTACAGTATATTGCTCTAATGTGGTCTTTTTTCTTTTGTAACAATAAATTGACTGAGTTTATCAAAAAACTGGAGGGAAGTGAAGAGATGTAGTTCCCCCTGTAAAGGCAAGTTCAGACTAAAAAGCATTTTTGAAGCATTGTCACTGACACAAATTCATAAATTGAGCAAAAACGTTACATAGGAGAGGGTAATGGAGAAAAATAAAAACAATTGGAAGCTAGGGTGTACAGTATTAGCGAGCTTACAGATAACATCTGCACAAATAAACTAAATAATGGAAGCTTTATACCTCCAAAGGAGTAAAGATGTCCACATTTTATCTAACCCATAGGGCAAAGAATTCAGCATTAACCTGCATGCTAACTATGGAATTCACTGGGTTGTGGTGTTTCTCAAGCAAAAATAACTTCCCCCTTTGCTGCCCCAAATACTACCATGCTCCAAAATAATATTTATTCTTTTTAAAAAAATTGGATTCATTAACAACTTAATGTAGTGTAGCCAAGGATGTATTTTGAGAGCCGGATATTAAATTCCAGGAAGATGCCCATTCTTCCCACTGAAAATTGCTCGCTTGGATCGTATGCCATTTTTTTTTTTATTCTGGGTTTGCTCCCATATTGTAGGGTCCACTGCACATGTACATTAGTGTTCCCCCACTGCCCCTGCCCATGCACTCCAACTTGGTTTGTAGACTTTACATTGGGATGACATCAAAAAAATAAAAGTTTTCTAGGCTCTGGGAAAGTTTTAAAAATATAAAACCTCCATGAATTAAAAATTCATAATACAAAGAGTGATACCTGACCTGCTATGCAGGTTGAGGTTTCCTTTTTATACAGACATCTTTTTTTTATCAGTGTGGTTTAGAAAATGACTTTTCTGCTGCAGGGGGACTGTTGGTTGCAGTACCACATGTGGCCACTGGGAAAATTGGCTGAACAGCTGTGGCGCTGCCATATCCAGCTCACATAATACATCCATGAGCAGAGCTTGCTGCTATTGGCAGAAATGACTTTTCTCATGGCAGCCATTTTGAAGATCTGCACTACAACTTTGGATTAGAAGTACCACACTGTACAAGGCAAAGTTAATAAAGGTACAAGAGTTTAGCCTATGAGTGGTAAAGTAGGAACTCAAAATGTGCACTTTTACTAACCAGATGAAACAAAAAAACAAAAAAAAAATGGTATGGAGGAGGTGATAATGCATAGTTTTGTGGGACACTAAAATGTGTGCCAGGACTGTATACAGCATTCATTAAGATTCAATGACTCGTCTACCAGCTGTGGAAAAACTAAAACCTTTCATTGTGTAATATCAATATGATAAACATATCTGCCAGCATCTTGTTGAAACTGATGGTTAGAAGCTGATATGTTACCGGATGGGGAAAGTGTGTATGTGTGAACTTTAATGAGATGCTACAGAAAAGTATGAGGGGCATATCAGGAAGGAGAGCAGGGACACTGAAAATGTTTGGAGCAAAAATGAACAAAAGAAAAACCTCTAAAGAACGCTTGTTGGTGCCTCCAAATGCTGTAAACTGCCCCAAAGGCACACTTTCAAGTCTGCGTGGTAAAGGGAAGGGAGAGCGCAGAGGTAAAAAAGCTGTGTTGAAATGCCACCTCCATGGGCCATATTCTTAGAGCTGCAAACATAAAGTAAAGGCTTGCGGTCTAATTCTGCTCCCATGATCCTCCATTTTATCTGCAGAGGAATGTCTACAGTCTCCAGACAGGCCCTGCTGCTTTTCTTCAGTGTTTTATGTATTTTGTATATGGTGTAAATATATTAATATGTGTGTGTGTGTGTTTGTGTGTGTCTGGTGTGTGCTGCTGTGGTTTGTCATAATGCCATCAAAGCAGAAGGTTCTGCTGAGTCCCTTGCATGTTGCTACAGGGCTATGCCAGTGAGTAAATGGCATTGACGGGTGAGGTGGCCTCTGAGCTCTCATTGCCCTCTGTCTCATCCTTGTCCTTCTTGACTGTGTACTGGCCAATGAAAGAACCATCCTCGTTGAATTGGCCATCACCACCTTCTCCATAGTCGACCAGACTGTCGTCGCTTTCCTTAACATTGCCATCCAGTGAAGTCTGGCTGCCCTGTAGAGGTTTATTGTCCTCATCACTGCTGCAAATATAAATGAAGAGGAGAGGTGAGATGTTAAAAAATAGGAACAGGTTCTTGTTACAGTATCAGCACCTTGTTGTTGAGTCATGTTAAACAAAGGGGAAAGCCAATGATTATTGGGATTGCAGGTAAAGAAATATTAATTCTATAATTTTTTTTAACTGACAATTCTTGAAGTGACTGAATGTTCAGGTTGCTTGAGTTCTGTTAGACTTCAGTCTTCATTTTTATGATTTATTTTGAATTTTATTTTGTTGTATTTTCATGTCTATATTAATATAATACACACGTTGCTGTTATACTGTATCTGCAAACACTGCCTTTTCAGAATGTTTATACTCAACAAATCTGCAAAACAAAATGTGTC